TTTCCATTTTTTGTGTTTTTCTGACGTTTCTTCTTCAGCCATTGTAATTTGTTTTATTTTATCAATAATTTCATTTTCAATTTCAACTTTTGCAGTATCAACATCCAAATTGAAATAAATTTGATATTCTTTTTAGTGAGAAGTTTGGTGCACTTTTTGAGAAATACGATTGGTACAATTCTATGAGCACCAAATAACTGTTCCTGAAGTTCTTTCAGAGTAATATTTTTTCGACCGTACCAATCTTTTTTCGAGTTGTGTTAAGTGACTCTTCAAATAGTTTAAATTTTAAATCTATAATATTCTGGAAAGACAGCAATTTTTCAACAAAAGTGTGAATAACAGGATGAGAAATACGTATAAATCGATTCAACTCCGAATGAAAAATTTCCGCTCAATAATTTGTTCTTTCGGGAAGACCAAATACCGACCAGTGCTCAATTTTAAAAATGCCATTTATATGAGTGTTTTCAAAATACTCAAAAAAACACTTTAACATCTTCGTCTTGACACAGTTCTTCTTTTATCATATAAAATGTGTCCCTGATCATTGTTTTTGGCAAAAAAGCCAATGACATTAACATTTTTATTAGAGTTTTAAACGAATCACCTTCAACAAATCTTTCACCAAATTTCAAAGTTAAAACTCTCCTATAAAGAGATTGGCAAAAATGAAAATGACAACATTTAACATCAACCTCATTTCCAAATATATCTTTGAAATACACAACTTCAAAGTCTCCCATCACAACAACATTTTTATGAAACACTTTTTATTTACAAATTTCTTCAATCTTATCAATAATTTTTTGTACGTTTCTTTACTTTTTGAAACAAGACACGAATAAAAACTGGAAAATATTCTCCATTTTGCAAACCGTAAATGGTATACATTTGAGAAAATAATTCTTTTTGTCAAAAATAATGTACAACTAATATAAAAATATATTAATATTTTTGTAAAAATGTTTGATATTAATATATTATAACACTTTAATATCAGATTATTTTATTTAGAATGTATATATATTATTTTTTAATATTTAAATTTAATATTAAATTTAATATTAAATTATTTACTATTTAACAATATTATAATATTTTATTATCAATATTTTTTTGTGTAATAATATATTATTTAATATAAAATTTTGTTTCCATATATATCAATAGACAAACTTGGATATGATTGAAAAGTTCCATCCATCAAAATTGTACTACACGTTTTAAAATAATTTAAATATTCTTTCTTACCAAATATAATCATTTCATAATCTTGGTACATGACAAAAGAAAGTTCCTCGTTAGTGAATGTGATTTGATCAATTTCTTTTGGGTTTTTGGATATCTGTTTTTGACTTCGTACTATATGTTCACATAAAGATAAACGTTTTGAAGAACCATTGACGTAAGCTTCTGTGACTATTTCCATGGCGCTTTTATCTTTTGAGTTTTCTTTCTTTGCTTCTTCTTTCATGTTTTCAGTACATTTTTGTCAAAATAAGAAGTGGTGTCATGTTCATGTGGAAGACCCTTTTGAGAACCAGTTTCTTCATATCCAATTGTGTTACCTTCTTTATCAAAAAGCAATCTAATGCGCTTTTACATTGTTGGTATTCACATTTGAATAATATGCGTTTTTTATTAACAGATCTAAATTTATAACCATTAATGTATGGTTGATAATTTTCATGTGTTGATAAAATCATTTCAAATCTAGGAGGTTGAGGAATGTCGGATATAACCAATGGTGTGGTTGTTTTATTTTTCATTGAATATTGTAGATGACCTAATACTTTTTATAATAAAATAATTATATTTAATCATAAAAATTGTATAATTTATAAATATTTATATATATACTTATTATTTATTTTATTGTGTTATAATCAATATTTTATGTTATTATAATACAAATATTATAAAAATATTAACAATTAATATATATACAGTGTATATATATTTACAGTTATTATAATGATAAATATATATTGTTAATAATTATTTATATTATATTGTAGTTTTCGAATTTAAATAAAATTATAGATTATTATACTTATATATCTAATTTAAAAACCATTTCAAATAATAAATATAAATTAACTATAAACATTATATATTATTGTAATAAATACAATAATACAGATTGATTTATTTTTGTAAACATGTTTTAAAGAAATATTCAACAAAAATTCAAATGACTTGAAATTTTGTTGAAAAATAAAGGCGAAAAAAGCGAATTATTGAAAAAGCAATTTTTAAAAGAGCAGATTTTCCTAAACCCATTGAAATTAATTATCAAAACTTAAAAAACTACGATTTGTATTGTAACATTTTTTCCTGTAATTTAGTGTTTATTTAACTTAATACTTTGAAATTTTTATTGTTTTGAATTGGTCACACATTTGTTTAGAAATGGGATATTTTAAAAACATTATCTCTATTTATATTTGCGATTGCGGACGAAACACAGCACCTAACTTTTCACAATATTCTATAAAAATTTAATTAAGCTCGCTGTTTGACCTAAAAGAACTAAATTTATATCATTTGTGTTTATATTTTTAATTGTTTTTTGTACTATATTAATATATTATATTATATTGTGATTTAAGAATAGGTATTTTTACGAAATAATTCTGTCACTTTTAATAGTGAATTATTTATCAATCTATAATTTATTAAAATTGTTTACAAAGAATAATTCTGAAATATTTAAATAGTGAAAAACTGTAAATATCAAAATGTCACGACTTTCTAGCTATCACATCATGATAATCTCAAGGTACTTTGCCACTATCAAAGACTTTGTTAACTTGGAATTAGTATGCAAAAAGTTTGGTGGTAATATGGAAAAGTTCCATTTCAATCCGATTCTGTTGGATTTTAAAACACTTAGATACTTCCCAAACATTGAGACACTTCATTTATGGAATGAAGAAGATAAGAATTTTGGTTATGGATTTCTGATCAACACAAAAAACGAAGAAAATGAAAATGATGAAAATGATGAAAATGATGAAAATGATGAAAATGATGAAAATGATGAAAATGATGAAAATGATGAAAATGATGAAAATGATGAAAATAAAGAAGATAAAGAAGATGATAAAGCTGTTTTCAAGAAAGAGTTCTTTCGAATCATTGTGTGGTTCAATGTTGACTTTGAAACTGTTGACAAATACAATAATGGAAATATAGAGTTTAAAAATGTTACTTACACTGAACATGATAGAAATTTATTTGGTAATAACATACCATTGAGTGTTAAATCTATTGCCGATGATTGTTACTGTGGATGCAGACGTCTGACTAGTTTTAACATACCATCAAATGTTGAAAAAATTGGTGATTGTTGTTTTTATGAATGCAGTAATTTGAGCAGTATAATTATACCACCAAGTGTTACATCTATTGGTGTGAGTTGTTTCGGTGGATGCAGTAGTCTATGCAGTGTTAACATACCATCAAGTGTTGAATCAATAAGTGGTTATTGTTTTGGTAGATGTAGTAGTCTCAGCAGTATAATTATACCACCGAGTGTTACATCAATTGGTGATAGTTGTTTCCAATATTGCGGCAGTCTAAGCAGTATCACAATACCATCAAGTGTGAAATCAATTGGTAATCAATGTTTCCCATCGAGTACAGTAGTTCATCGAGATTAATTAAAAAAATTATTTTTTTATATTTATGTTTTTAATTTTTTAATCAAAATAATGGAAAACAATTAATATTACAGATGTGGGATTAAAGTTTCGACGAGTACCAAGGTTTCGACTTATAATTTAAATACAATTTGAATTGTAATGAACAATTTTTTAATTTATTTTATAAACATCGTCCAAATATAACTTTTAATGTTTAGTTTTTACAATGGTATATAATTATTAAATATTAGTCGAAACCATGGTCCTGGTCGAAACCTTAGTACCAAATCTGTATCACGAAATTGATAAATCATAATCGTAATATTGAGTGCAGTACATGGAAATAGCGTTTAAATTCGGCCCTCCCACACCCCCATTTTCTGATTAAGATTCATATATAGTCAATATTCGATAAGAGGGCTATTCGATATAAGGATTTATTCGATAAAAGACCAAAAAATAAGAGGGAGGTCTCTTATCGAATATTAAAAAAAATCAAAAAACAACAACTTCTTTTTTTGTTATTTTTAATTATTTCCAGTAAAAACCTTAAAATGGTATTACATAAACTAAATTGTCATTAAATTAATAAAACAATTAAAACAATTTTTAAAATTATTTTTAAAGCAAATGAGTTTTTCATCTAAAACCCAAATAATTTTAATTAATGTGTCGTTGGAGTGTGTAAAATTATTATAAAACAACGCATGTTTATTTTAAAACCAAGAGTTGTCAATATTACTTTTTATATGTTTAAATGTTGTTTATGTTGTCTGTCAATATTTTGATTTTATAACGGACGTTTTGTGTTTTAATAAACATTAACAAAATACACAATTGTTTTTCATATTATAAATCACAAAAATTTGAAAAAAATGGCCAAAATATAATTTGGATTTATGTTGAGACAAAAAACAAATTGAGGTATTTTTTGTTAATTATAGAGGGCGAAAAAAACCGCTGGTGTTAAAAACCGCTGAGATGGACTTCTTTTGTTTATTTTTGTTTTGTTTTTAGTAAATTGTATAGATTGCCTTTTTAGTTTAATTTCCTTTTCCACGATTTTAAAAAATGGAATAGGTTTTACAACAAAAACCATTCAAAAAGTTTTGCAGTTTTGTTTTTTTTAAAAGTAATTCATAAGTAAAAGTTGGTTAGGAAAAAGCAGTGATGCTTTTTTCAATCAAGTCCTATTCCGACTTGATTGAAAAGGAAAAATAATAAAAAAATGAAACAATTTTTATTTAAAAAAATTTATTTTGTTTTAAATTTTGTTTTGATTTTTGAAAACAAAAATAAAACATTTTTACTGTTATTTTTTGTTTTTCTTTTTAAAGTGAATACCCTCCAAATGTACCTTTATTTCACACCCCCTTTTGAAAAAAAACACATTTTTAAATGTGATTTAAACAATCGTTTCTCTGATACACATAATTTATCTCAAGAGTGGTCAAAAAGACATTTTAATTCAGTGTTGATGCAATATTTTTAATGTTAGCAGTTTCCGTTTTCAAATTCAACCAATAAAGTTTTATTTTAATTTGCCATAAAATATTTTAGTGAAAAAAACAAATTTTACGAGGCATGTTCATATTAATACTTTTATTTTCACTTCTGTTCATTTCAAAAAACAAAATTCTATTTTAATCAGTTTTGATTAATTATTTTTTTTCTGGAAGATACAACCTATTTGTATGTTTTGGTTTTGATTGGTAAGTTAATCCACAAATAAGCAAAACCCAAAATACGAAAAACTACAAATAAAGACTTTGACAGTAATTATATTATTTTAACGATAATTATATTATTTTATTATCCATCAACTATTAGATAAACATTTCTATGAATTATTTAACATATTTTCGAGTTTTTCTCTTGCTGTTTCAATTGTGATTCTTTCTTTTTTGTCTTGCTCCCAACACTTTGATATCAATTCATATTGCTCATCGTTAAAAGAATCCACTTTTCGAAGACGATTTCCATTGATAACAAATTCTGCTATTTTCCAAGGGAACTTGAATTCGTTGTGAGAATATGCTTCTTTCCAAGACATAGTCTCAAACATAGTGATTGCAAACGAATATACGTCAGCACTCTTCGTGTATTTATCTTGTTCCAATATTTCAGGTGCCATGTATGTTGGCGTACCAACACCCTTTGTGAATGTCATGTTGGTTTGAAGCATATTTAAGTTTCTTGACGACCCAAAGTCAGTCAATTTTGCATTTACGATTTCATTCAAATCAAGTGACAACACCAAAAAGTTGTCTGGTTTAATGTCTCTGTGTAATATCCCATTTTCGTGTAGATATTGAATACCTCTTGAAGCGTCAAGTAAGAATTTGATTCGCAACTGCATTTTTATTTCTTCACTCTTCTTGTGTTTCATCAAGTCTTGGAGTGACCCAAAAGCAGCAAATTCAGTGACCATACACACCTTACTTGGTATGAATACAGCACCATAGAAGTGTATGATGTAATCACATCGGAATTTGTCTAGCATTGCTACTTCTTTTTCAAATTCATCAAGTCCACTCTCATTGTTTTCAAGTTGTTTCATCCTCTTGATTGCAACGACATTTCCTCTGTATTGCCCTTTATATACAATTCCAAAACTGCCTTCGCCAAGTTTGTTATTTTCAATAATTTCTCTGTAATTCAATTTGGTTGTTTGTTCAGTCTCGATTTTTATTCCAATTTTAGCAGTTTCAAAATTTCCAGTTGCCAAATTCATGGAAGTGACCAACACGTTTTCTTTCGTTACACAAGTACACAGCGGCTTAATAAATATTTCAAATTCACAAGCATATCCAGGCTTTAATGTCACAAGTGGGGGCACACTCCGTATCTCATAATAGTCACACCCCTTCATTACACTGAATTGCATTTTCAAGTTGTTTTTGGACACATTTCCGATACATATCAAATCTCTTGTTTCCACGTCGACTTTGAGTAACTCGTTGTCATCCAAATCAAAATTCAATATTTTCTTGTTTGAGACTAAATTTTCGCTTACTTTTTGCATCTCAATATTGGACCGACTCATCTTGAAGTTGCAAATGTTTTGCTCTTTTTTCGCTAATTTTTTCTTTTGTATCATTGTGATCAAAATAATTATTATGGAAACTATGTTCATTATGATCACAAAAGTCATAGACAATGGCACGCCAATGACCAACCCATAATTTGTCTCTTTAACACAATAATCACCAGCACGATCAGGCGTTCGTCAATTTTGCCATTTTTTGCTTTTCAAAAACAGGGAGCCCCTCTTAACAATTTC